GTCCTGATTCCCCACCCATTAAACCCTATAACCACCGTTTTCGTAGGAGTTAGGTGTAGGGATTAATGAGTGAGCCTGCACAAGCTACCGTTGCCCAGTTTTTTTACATTTTTTTTCTGAAGATAAATTAGCGAACATACGTTTGTTTTCGATAAATTCTCGTCAGGCCTTTTACATTTATATGTATTGAAATGAATAAACTATGGTGGTTGGTAGACAGCTGAAGTGTTCTCGTTGTCACGGTGGGGAAAAAATATAAATATTTGCCATTCTCCTAGGGAAGAGGAAACATGCAGATTTGTTGAAGAATGATATTTAAAATAAAAAAAGTTTTAATTCAGTAGCAGAAGACCAGTCCAATATATCACTAAATTAAGTTGCTGGTTAAGGTTAATGGTAACATGCCTGCCTTTGTTGCAATTAAGAAAGTCCACTCTATACTTGCGAGAGCTTCACATTATAAAAATTAATATATTGGCTCTTTGTTAAGTCCATTTGTAAAAGCAACCGTTTAAGGCGTATGCTTCAATCGCGCTTTGTACGCACATTGCAATACCTTTATAAGAATAATTGAACAAAGTTAGATTTCTGCTGCCCCTTCATGGCTCACAATCTCTACTCAGCATACTTTTGTCGTCTAACAAAACTTTCCATGTCGGTGGATTTTTTTGTGAATTTCCATTATTCAAAGGCAAGGCAAAGCAAGAAAACTGCAAAATGCTGCAACAATGTTTCCTTTTGCAAAACAACATCGCTTACTCGCTGCTTGCCAGCTAAGAGCTTGTGTCCGGCCTGACCCTGTAGTTGCGTATCCCACCAGTTTGTTGTACTCGTCACCCGGCACGGCAACTGGAAGAGAAGATAAAATGGCGTTTTAGTTCCGTTCTACTGGTCCTGCATTTAATAAACGAAATAATCTCGTGTTGGGCACGCACATAATTATTCCCGTACTACAGGTGGTTCTGAGCTAACTTCCAGATGTATGCCTTTGCTTACAGTGGGTGCCTGATCTCATGCAACATTAACCGAACTTCTAAAGTTCGTCTTTGATTAGGGGAAGATTACTTGGCAGGAGTTTCCTTGGTAGCGCACAAATGTTCTTATTTATATTAACTTGCTTACTCAATGAATTTCTGCATGTTTTCCTACAAAAACGGTGGTTATGGGCGCGAAATTAAGAAACGCAGTGGAATACACCTTTAAAAATGCTAAATGCATTTTATTTTACTGTATTTAGATATGTTATTGATCTATATCTGCAGATTTTCCTCATCTATGTTATCATTTAACTTATTGCGGAAAAACCCGATTATCAAATTGCAGGTTTCTGGAATTTCCCA